AGAGAGAGAGAGAGAGAGAGAGAGAGAACCAGAGAGGGAGAGAAAAAAGAGAGAGAGTGAGTTAAAGACAAAAAGAAAAGGAATTGTTTGAAAAGGGTTATACCGTAACATGATCGTGACAGGCTGGTGACGCGAACCTCTGTTCTACTACTTAAGTACATACAAATAACGCGAAAAAATAACGTTATATATAACTTTAATATTTAATATGGAGATTTCAAAATATAGTTATATAAAGATCATTTTGCTAGAATTTTATTTATTGAGATTTTTCTAAATTGCACATTTAATCAATGTAATCACATGCAACACATTGCCAATTATTTTATAAACTTGTTTGAAAACAATCACAAGGGAGAACATAGAAAGATTTGAAAACCACGCGTATCACGGATACACTCTAGTTCTTATCATAGAACTCGGGCTTGTCTGATCGTACGCTGAGCAAAGAAGGAAGTGGCAGTATCTTTTAGTATTCCGTTTCGTTCTGTTCTCATTTCGCGAGCGGTTCATGCTGTTTTAACATAGTCCGCGCACGGTGAAAGTGACACCAAACGCAACATTTTACAGGATATTGAAGAAATTTTTGGTTAATATATTTATGAATAAAATATCTGACATAATTTCTTCTGACGATTTCAAAGAGCGAAGAAACAATGAGACGATATTCATATTCTCGTCGACAACAAATTATTCCAGAAGAATATCGATCGTGGTAGAATTTTTTGCAATATTTTAATTATTTTGTGCAAATAAGTGCACGATTCTATATAAATATAAATATTTTATATAAAGGATAAATACAATTGTGAAGAATATGGCTCTCTTTATGTTGCAGCGAAGTGAGCATATCGTCCGCTCGTGCGTCGGTAATGGTATATGACGACGTTAATAAAAAATGGGTACCAAGTGGCAGTTCCTCAGGACTCTCCAAAGTTCAGTTATACCATCATCAAGTGAATAATACATTTCGCGTAGTGGGAAGAAAGTTACAGGATCACGAAATCGTTATCAATTGCGCGATCCTCAAAGGATTAAAATACAATCAAGCGACAGTCACATTTCATCAATGGCGAGATAATAAACAAGTATACGGTCTGAATTTCTCCAGTAAGGATGACGCCGACGCATTTGCTAGGGCGATGTTACAAGCACTCGATGTGAGTTCAAACTAATTGTTGCGCTCTTACTTTAGCTATTGATAATTCAAATATATTTTGGATTTATTTTAATAATTGTTTAATATTAGGTATTGAGCAATGGAAGCAATATATCGAGAAGTCTTGCACCTGCCTCAACTACTCAACAGCAATCCGTCTTTCAACAACAGCAACCTACTAATGCTCAATACGATGAAGATATGGGATACAGGTTCGTTTTTTTTATATTTTTATATTTTATATTTATATTTCGAGAATTTCAATTACTTTTTGCAAAAAATCATAAAATTATATTAAAAAATATATATATTTTTCTTTTTCATCCAGAACCATGACCAGAGAGGATGTAGCAATTATTCAGGAACGCAGAATGTCTCAACAAAGCCAAGGTATAAATAACGTAATACTATATATATCAATATTATGAAATTATGAAATCAAAGAGAGATCTTCAGTGTATATTTTATTTACAGCAACAAATAGTCCGAACGCAATTTCTCCAAGTT